TATTATGAAAGGACATCCGGACAACCTCTCTCTGTTTATGATTCCATCCTTCGACCGAAAAAAAATGTGGTTTATAATTCAATTAGAACTTTCGTTTAATTAGATCTACGTTGGGTTATTGCATGTAGGTTTGTGTGTAAGAAGCTTGTATGACTTAGTAAATAATATTTTTTTATTCTGGTAATTATAAGAAATTGTTATTTATCTATTTATCTATCTATCTACCTCTCTATCTATCTATCTATGTACCTATCTATTTATCCGTCTATCTATATATATATATATATATCTACCTATTTATATATCTATCGACCTATCTATCTACCTATCTATCTACCTATCAACTTACCTACCTACTCTACCTACTACTTACCTACCTACTTACCTACCTACTTACCTACCTACTTACCTACCTACTTACCTACCTACTTACCTACCTACTTACCTACCTACTTACCTACCTACTTACCTACCTACTTACCTACCTACTTACCTACCTACTTACCTACCTACTTACCTACCTACTTACCTACCTACTTACCTACCTACTTACCTACCTACTTACCTACCTACTTACCTACCTACTTACCTACCTACTTACCTACCTACTTACCTACCTACTTACCTACCTACTTACCTACCTACTTACCTACCTACTTACCTACCTACTTACCTACCTACTTACCTACCTACTTACCTACCTACTTACCTACCTACTTACCTACCTACTTACCTACCTACTTACCTACCTACTTACCTACCTACTTACCTACCTACTTACCTACCTACTTACCTACCTACTTACCTACCTACTTACCTACCTACTTACCTACCTACTTACCTACCTACTTACCTACCTACTTACCTACCTACCTACCTACCCATCTATCTATATATCTACCTGTCTACCAACCTATCTATCTATCTGTCTTTTCATCTATCTATCTATCTATCCATTAATTTGCTTTGTTTGTTTATTTGTTTATTAACAGCCTTCCGTAGTGGCAAAGAATGTGGGAAAAATAAATACTAAGGATATTAAATATAATTCGTTTCACGTCTTGTCTTTTATTTCCACTGTGTATTATTTTGCTTTTTATTTTTTATTCATTTATGTTGGTTATTTACTTTTCTCTGTAGTTTTTTGGTGAGAGAAAATGGCAGAGGGAGAGACTGAGCAAGGATTTTTTTTCCTTTTTTTTAGCAAGTGATATGCTGTTTCTTTTTCTTTTTCTTTTCTTTTCTTGTTTTTTTTTTTAGTTTTTTTCTTGTATATTTGTCTTTGTTTTTTTTTCTTTCTCCTTTTTTTTTACTTTCTCTTGTTTCTGATGTTCTTTTTTTTTAAACTCTCTCTCTCTCTCTCTCTCTCTCTCTCTCTCTCTCTCTCTCTCTCTCTCTCTCTCGTCCTTCCTATCCCTCTCGCTATCTCCCCCTTTCGTCTCCTCTCCCTCCCTCCTCTCTCCCTTTCTCCCTCCTCTTCTCCCTCCCTCCCTCCCTCCTCCTCTCCCTCCCTCCCTCCTCTTCTCCCTCCCTCCCTCCCTCCCTCAAACGCTAAATCTATGTATGCGTTTCCCTTAATTTCGCAAATAAGGTAAATGATTGATCACGTGACCAGAGAACGGAATTTATAGGGGGGGGGGGGGCAAAGGGAGAGAGATTTTGTGATGATGAAAATGATGATTAAGATGATGATGTATGGATTTTATGGCGACCGAGATGATGGTGATGATGATGATGGTGATGTTGATAATGATGATGGTGATGATGATGATGGTGATGATGATAATGGTGATGATGATAATGAAGATGGTGATGATGATAATGAAGATGATGATGATGATAATGAAGATGATGATGATGATAATGAAGATGATGATGATGATGATGATGGTGATAATCATGATGGTGATGATGATGATAGCGATGATTATGATAGTTTATTATAATGGTGATGATGATAATAGTAGAAGAAAGATTATGATGATGATAATCATGATGGTGATGATTATGGTAATGATAATAAGGAGGAACAGGAGAAGGAATATTATGACGATGATAATTATGATGATGATTATGATACTTATGACAATAATGATGAGTATCACAATGATGATGATGATGGCTGTGACCATGATGATCATTATGATCGTTAGAAGCTCTATCTATCTGCATTTTCACACAGTTTGATAGATAAATATATAGATAAATTCAGGGACGTTGAGTGAGTCCATATGAATCGGAAGATAATGATATCATAATGAATATTCATAATATACTTATAAAGATTGAAGAAAGGTTTGCAATAATATATTAAAAATGATGATTAATTTAACTAAAAGTGAGAGATAAGACAGTGTATAAGAAATAAAGATAATAATGATAATGAAAACGATAAGAAACAGAAGAGGATGAAAGCGAAAGGGATAATTATGATAATTGAGATAATTATAATAATTAGGAGAAGACCGACGATGAATGAGACGTTAATTTTTCGCGGAGCGAAAACCGCGAAACCCATAGCGAAAAAGTGAAATAAAATTAACGACAAGAAATAAAATGAAAAAAATTGATATTGTCATCTTCATATCTATTCACGTAAATAAAA